GGGGGGGGGGGGGGGGGGGGGGAGGCTGCCGTGGTTCTAGCGCCCCCGCTGTCAGTCAGTGACCAGCCCAAGCTGGATCTCGGGGAACCCTTTCCCTCTTTCTGTGTTTTGCAGTGTCAATCACAGCGCATATTGCTTTCCCCTCCCCCACCCCCCCTGCCCCCCCCCCCCCCCCAAGCCGGCAAGAACCACCTAGCTTGAGGCTTTTCACAGCTCCAGAAATCCCAGCTTGGGAGGGGGGGCAGATTTTAGGAAGCCTGGGAGCGACTCAGAATTGCTGAAGATTTTGTCGGAAGCTCCGGTGGAAACGAAGAATTTCATACTGTTTATTAACTTATAAAACGAATCTTTATTTATATGCACAGCTAGCCCTTCACTTTTTAAAAGGCGAAATAACGTTATTTTTCAAATAATGTACTTTCCCCTTGTCTACAGTTTACGCTGCCTACTTCAGGATCGCCAGGACAATTTGGAGAGTCACTGACTTGAATCTTAATGCAACATTTCAAGCTATCCGCTTGCCAGCCTCAGCTTTCTAAAATTATTCTGCTTTCAAATTCAGTTGCAGCCCTGAAATGCAAAGGAACGAAGGAGGTATTAAATCAGTGTCCGCCCCCCGCCCCGTTCCTTAAAAACTGCAGCGTGGTGGGTGTGTAAAAGCAGCATGGGGTTTGTATCAAGCATGTATTTCATTTATCTAAATTCATTGATTGATCAAAAGATAAGTGGTAATAAATAGTGTTTCCAAAAAGGTAAGGTTAGGATTGCAGCTTAAGTAAACCCTAGATCCAACTGTCCAGAAGTAAATCCCATTGATTTCAATGGCACTTTCTTTTAAGTAATCATGCAGAAAATCAAGCCAAAAATTAAAATCGTAGGCGCCAGTCCTGCCTAGATCGACTTACTTGTGGGCCCAGGATAGTGGGGAAACAACTTCTGAAAGAACATAAATAGATAGAAAACACAGTGGCTCGTTATTCCTCGTTAGAAACTTTTCTGAGCTTCTCTGTTTGGAATTGAGATTGTGAAAGATTCTCTCTCTCTTTCTCTCTCTCTGGTTGAAAAGCACGCATCCTGGGTTGCAAGCGAGAGAGCGCGGGATTCAGTCCACCCATTCAGCAGGGATTCTGCCCACCCATCCATCCACCCATCCATCCACAAGCCCGCTGTAATCGACGGATCGTTTCATTGGCATAGAAACAGATACCGGTGCGCTTTTCCTCTTCCTATTTTATTCTTCCACCTCTCTTAATTTCACCTCTTCCTTCTAAACAGAAAGTGGCGTGAAAGTGATAGAAGGAGATCAAAAGAAAAGAAGCTGACCGGCGTGTTCATCTGCAAATGGGTGTCAAAGACAGTTTGGAGGAACAAGTGCATGAATTCAGTTCTGGCAGGATAATTGGGGATGCAAGCTGCCGGCGCTCCCACTCTAGCTAAACGCTGCTACCACCAAGGCGGCGCGGCCTTTCCACTGGTTGCTCCTTGTCCCTTGGCCACTTCAGCCCTGAAGTTCTGGAAAAGTAAACTGTCCACAGTTGATCACTGGGACCGATCTTTCCTTTTCCCGAGAGCTTGCTTGCTTAATTCACAGCTGGCGGCGCTTGATCCAGAGTCTAGTGGCCGAAAATGTGCCTAGACTCCATGCTGACTAATGGATTGGTCCCCCAAATCTTACTCGCGATCCTTCCGCGCCTAGCTGGTTATAATGACTGGAGTGAAAAAAGTATTCTGTCTATGCTCAGCGGAACTTTCGTTAAATATTAAGCTCCACATTCTGGGGTGGCTCAAGCAAGGTAACAGGCGAGGAACTCACGCTAAGCCCCGAGAATTAAATCCCAAGGAAATTCCCCGTCATTGACGGAGGGGCGAGGAAGAAAACGGCGGAGCATCCCTGCCATCTGCAACGACGGGAGCCAGGAAGGTGGTGCTGCGACTGCTTTCTCGGATCTCTGGGGAGAGCGAGGCGAGGGCCCGAGGGTGCGCTGACACCTCCAGGACTCGGACAAATGGACGGGGGTGGAGAGAGTAGAAAGCTCGCTTGGAGTTTGTGTCCGGCGGGGCACTAACCGCCTAGGGACCCGAAAGCCCTAGCGGAATCGGGAAAATCGCCCAGGACGCGGGGTCGAAAGCCTCGCTCCAGGGTTTGGGTGACATCTGAATGAAGCTTTGATTTGGAAGAGCAAAAGGCTTCGGTGACACCGCCATTCGCATCAAGAGTGACCTTCTCGCCCCAAAGTCGAGGTTCGGCACAATCTTTTTTGCGTAAGAAAAAGTTTAGGTCTTGTTGGAAACGCTGCGTCTATTTCCAGCACTCTGGAAGGCTGCGATTTGAAAAAGAAGGTGGGGATGGGAACGCCTCAGTTCCCGCGGGAGAATCCCTTCACCCCGCAGCCTTTGGGTTGTTCTAAGAGCTTCACTGTTGCTGCGACCCGCAAATCTTCCAGCGGGGCCACTTCGTCTGGGTTTATTTCCCCGGCTTCTGGAGGTAGATTTTAATGGAGCTGGTGCCCCCACTTCCCTTACCGTAACCTGACTTCCGTGCTCTGACCTTCGTGTCATTTTTGTCAGGAAAAGGCCTATCGATCCCAGGGGGTTACATCTCTAATGAACCGCTTTCAAATTGGGATGTAAGCGAAGCAAACAGGAGCGAAGGAGCAGGAGCGTTATCCAGGCGAAGCTTCTCCCGCCGTCTTCTTCATCTCGGCTGCACCTCTAGACTGCACCGCTAAGAAGATGGAATTCACTAAGATCCCCCCTCCCCGCTCCCCAATATGAGGAGGACCGTTCGGGCAGCGGGAGAGAGAGAGTCCCTCTGTCCTGGGAAAGGTCTCATGTAGTCCAGTTTAGGGGACGATCTAAACTGTTCCCTGCATTATCTAAATCGCAGGGTTCCCACCAAGCCTACAGAACACAAGGAAACGGCTCTTCCCCATTGAAATCAGCGGGGCTTGCTGTCTGAGGAAAGGTGCTTTACAAGGCCGCGTTGCAGGGTCTTGCTGAAATTAATTAGGCTATAGAGTCCGATTAATTCAAAGTTACCAAGTTGCTTGCCCAGGAACAAGAAAGGCAAACAAAAGCGACCCGAACAAGAAGGAAGTTCTTTACCTGTAAGGCTCCAGGACGCAACAAAACAAAAATGTAGCCAGGGTGCTAAATGTGATGTATTAGCTAGCCGAGATCGTACTACACTTAGGCTGAATTTGGTGGGACGGCGTGTCACCGTCATACAGCATTGCACTGGACACCAATGACCTTCTAGGGGTTCTAAGTTCAAGTCGCCTTTGAAATGAATGTTTTAGCTGGCCATCGGCAAGCTCTTCGCTCGTGACCCCATCTTCCACCCCTGGTTAAAGACAACAACACGTGTCCTTTACGGGTTTGCAAGAACTGCACAGCGAATGTGTGAACGAAGCGCTTCAAACACTTGGAAGCACAATATCCGTCTTCACTCCCGTCGGGTTAAAACGCCACAGACTCAGAGATCCATGCTGTCCTCAGAGTGCAGAGCAGGTTTTTTCTAAACTGGGGGGGGGGGGGGGGGAGCAGAGATTTTGAGCTGCCCTCTCCCCCCCCCCCCTTTCTACTTTTACGGGTTTCTTGAACGCAACTTGAGTTCACTTGCTCCGATCCGACAACCAGCTGAGAAAGTGGAGGGG